TGCTGCTGTGTTTGTTGTTATTATTATATTTTTTGTTTTAATGAAAATAGCCATAAGCCCGTTTTTTCACTCACCTGCGTCTTTTTGTTTGCTCGTTTTCGCCACTTCGTTTCTTGCGCTGCTTCGTTTTGCATTGCCGACTATTTTCGTTTGATTTTTAAGTGATTTTTATTGTTGTTGTGTTTGTGAAAAAGTATCTAAAGTGAAAAAGCTAAAATAATTCATAAATAATATTTCCACCAACTTCTCCCCCCAATCACGCCGTGCGTCACAGCTGCAAATGTTATTGCAAGCTACCGGCAACAACAACAACTTGGCCACCATCAATCAACAAATCAACAGCCTTGGCTCCATCAACCAACAGCTAACATCGCTCAGTCATCAGCTGAGTGGTTTGAATCAGCAAAGTCAGAATATACAAAACTTCCAGAATATCAACGCCGCAGCGGCGGCTGCTGCGCAACAGCAACAACAACAACAACAGCCCTCACCGCCGCCCGTCAGCCAGCAGCAGCAGCTGACGCCACCCTGTTCGGCTGCCTCGTTGCAGCAGTCGCAGTTGCACTTGAATATCGCCACCGCGGCGAACACCAACAATGGCAACAACACCAACAACAACAGCATTAATAACAATAACGCCTGCGGCGGCGGCGGCGGCAGCAGCAGTCCATTCCCTACAATGAATCAATTGCAGAGCATAAGCAATCAGCTACAACAACTCAATGCGCAAGCGACGCAGTCGCAACAGGATGCGTTGTCGAAGGACCTCTTCCAAGTCAATCAGGAGCTGTTGAATCGGCTGCAGGCGCTGAATTTGGGTGCCAGTAATACGAACGCCTTGACGCTCAACACCGGCGCGCCCATGGCCAGCGCCCAGCAGACGCCATCGCCGCGCAATTCATTCTTCTTCGTTAACCCGATGTCGGTCAGTCCAGCGAACAACAACAATAACGCGGGTAATTTCAATTTTCTCAGCTCGCCAGGCGCGCTGTCGGGTCAGCTGACGCCATCGCCCATGAGCACGCTCGCACGCAACTCATTCGCGCACAGCCCGCAGCTGCAGCAACAACAACACGACGTGGATGCATTACAACAACAGCTGAGCAGCATCGATCAGAACTTGAATAACCTAATCGATGAACAATTGATGCAGCCACTCGGCGGTTCGATAATGTCGACGTCCTCCAATGGCAATATAGCCGCCGGCAGTCCCTCGGGCACGCGCGAATCCAGTCGCTCCTCGTCGACACTGGACTCGGCGTCACCATCATCGCCGCGCACACGTACCGGTGGCATCGCAAACAACAACAATGAGCCACGCTTCAACACCGTCATGCTGAAAGTGACCGACGAAGCGGGTAATGTGACAAATCAGCGCAAGCTTTCAGCCACACCGAGCTTCATACAGCGCAGCACAAGCGAAAAAGTGCCGAATCGCAGTCAAATTATGAGTCAAGTGCAACGAACAGCCTGGGCGCGTCACACCACCAAATAACAGTCGGCCGTTGGTGGTGGTGGTGGTGGTGTTGGTGAAGAGAGCGTTATGGATGCCGTCTTAATAGAAATCTAGTTGAGCATAAGTTGGGCGGGTAGCTGTAGCACAGCGTTGTGGATTGTGCTGCAACAGTGGTAAATAACGGTTTTTATAAATAAAACTCTAAAGCTATTATATTTACGGAAGAAACGGCTTAAATAAGGCGTTAGTATATATATTAGGGTGGTCCAAAAAAAATATAAATATACATAATTTTTCCTCTTTTTTATAAATTTATAGGGTTGAAATAGTTTATAAATATGTGGCATTAGTATGAATCTTAGGGTGATCCTAAAAAAATAAAAATGTAGAAGTTTTATTATTTTTTATAAATAAAACTCTTAAATTTGTTTATTTAAAAAAAAATATTTGATGTAAGGCGTTATTATACATATTAGGGTGGTCCATAAACTTTTATATATTTTTTTTTATAAGATAGTTTATTTCAAGAAAATATTAGTATGAATATTAGGATGGATCTAAAGAAATTAAATTTGGGATTTGTATTCTTTTTTATAAATAAATTTCTTAAAGTAATTTATTTGCACCAAATATTTGATTTATAGCCTTGGTAAGCAAATTAGGGTGGTTCTAAAAATCAAATTTAGAGAATACTCCTTGTTTAATAAAAAAACCGTTTAATTTGTTTATTTACTGGAGGTTCAACTATTTAATACAAAGTTGATATACTATAAATATTAGGGTGATTCTAAAAAAAAATATTGTGGAATTTTTCTTCCAATTTTGATATTTTACTATACTATTATGGTCAACATTATAACATATAATTTTTGGTCGTTTTTGAAAAACATTTTAGGCGCTCTTCAAAGTGTCACCGCTCGAATTCTTCTTGAATTTGATTTAATCCTAACCGTGTTAGAGCGACACCAAACTTTATAAATAATACGTTATAATGTACTGAAAACACAACTGTAAATTATATATAAAATGGCATGTACATATTTAAGGACCACCCTAACACATATATAGTATATATACATGCAAAGAGCTGTTGTTTCTATTATTATAAGTCCACATAATATATATAGTATATACACATATAAAGCGATAAATTGATACATCGCAAAGGAAATTTCATATCTTCTAGACTTAGTTCAATTAAAAAAGTATAAATATAAAAAAAATTATATTGTTCCTCAAACAATATCATAACTTCATATATCCAATTTTTTGCTTGTTTTGTAATTTAGCTTTTAATTTACAGTATTAATACGGAACTTGTAAAAATAGTCTAATTGTTGAGCAGTTAAAATATGTATTTGAATCAAAATAAGCCGTTAGCATATGGTTTATCAGAAATATAGCTGTATAACTGTTATAAATTTTTGATAATAAAAATCAGTATCGAGTCGTTATTTTGCATTTTTGGTTGAGTTTCTTTCCTTCATTTTTCTTTACGAATGATTTGGTTTGATTCCCTTTTTTTATTTTCAACTCTCCATATTATAATTTAGGAAACAATTTTTCATATTTTTCCTACAAGCTCTGGTGTTTTCTTTTCTTTTTTTAAGAAAGTCGATAGTTACTCAGATATAATGGATTATGGAATATTCTTCGAAAAATCGGTGAGCATCACTGGTATATTAGTGCAACAATATTCCTGTTCTGTATGGTAGTGAAAAGACTTCTTAGAAAAATACAAATGTAAAAATATAACTGGATGCTAACTAAAAGCCGGAGTTCAGTCTTCCTTCTTCGAGAACTGGAGAACTCCTTTAGCTTAAGGTTTCGAAAGCTCATAGTCATAAATAGCTATTCCTGATATTTCATCTAGTCTATTGAACTGCTGGAAATCTAAGTTGAGTTGTAGATAAGGCCAGACTAGCAGAACAGGCGTTGCATCTGTGACTAGGCCAACAATTTCCCTGCATGATTTTTTTGTTTTCGCACACTTGCATACGATCTTGGCGATCCCTCATTTCCTTAAGAGATTCCTCTACCAGCCCTTGCGGAAATTTCATTGTGTAACATTTTCAGAGACTTGAGTTTTTCCTGTAGTTGTTTAGTAGAAGAAGAAGAAACCATTATTGGCAATCTCATCGTCTATGCTCTTGTGGCACGAAATACAGTATATATGCCAGTTTATATGATTTCCAGGAGCCACCATATCTATTGTATCCCTGTTTCTAAGGGCAGTCTTTGCTGACACAATAGATTGTGGGATTATTGTTTTAATTTCCCCTTGGCTATTGTTATGCTTTATGTTGTTCCTGTGTCATTATCTATTATTAACTACCTCAGTAACAAAGTCTTCTACTTGAAAGATGCTACCGCATTCCGGCAACTATAGATACAACTGCGGCTTAGCTTCTCAGAATAGATTCCGGCGCCCATATTATTTCTTGATTCTTCCGAGTAGATGCTGAAAGTTCCGCTGATGGGTCAGAAACGCGCCAACCGCCTTTTTTTAATGTAACTTGAAACCTTTTCTCCCACATGAAGCGTGAGTGTATATGTTACCATCGACCACCAACTTATCGGGCAATGCCTGAAGTTTTTTGTATGAAATTCACCTAATGCCGCCAATCACACAGCCAATTTTATGGCCGCTATTATAAGGTGATCAATTTCGTGGTTTCTCCTTTTTTATGAAGACAGAATCTTCGAATTTAATGGGAAATGTTTATTATCACTCAAAAGAAGATATTTTTAGCCCAATTTTCGATGACTCATTCGAGTATTTCGACTGGTAATGAGCAATGAATTGGACTGGTGGACTTTCAACAGAGTCTGAATCGAAGCGAGATTGTCCACATAGACCTTAAAATTTACATATCGCCACAGAAAAAAGTCTAATGGTGTGATATCACACGATCTTTTTCATTAAATAGCCAAGAACGTGAAATTATCTGCTCACCGAATGTTCCCTCCATAAATCCATTGACTGATACGATATATTGAAAGTGGCGCCTTCCTTTTGAAATCAAATGTCGCCGAAATCTCGAGTTACAATTTCATGCATCAAATAGTCGGTTATCATGGCGCGATAACGGTCGCCATTGACGGGTGACCACAACAAAACCATGATTTTTCTGAATGAAATGACAGCTCTTGAATCTCTTCGTCGACAATTTTGCTTGGATCGTTTTGGAAGTTTTCAACAGAGAGGTTGCAGTTTCTACAGAAGCTGTATTTTGCACGCTTTTAATTTAAGATCTGGACATAAGATGCCCCAAGTCGTTGCATACTATATGTCAGCCCGAGTTGCTGCGAACGGCGCCGAATCGCCTCTCCACGGTCTTCGTGTACATTTCCAGCTACGGCTGGTATATTTTCTTTGCTGCCTGCTGGACGTGATCTATTTGGTCGAATATTACTATATAATGAGTGCTGGATCTCAAGAGCTCAGTAGAGCTACTATGTTGACCATAAGTTGAGCGAAGCGCGCGAAATATATTCTCTACAGAACGTGAATTTTCATAATATAGTTGAACGATTTGTAGTCGTTGCTCAGGCCATTTAAAAAAGTATCTCTAAAATGATTACCCGTTATAGTAATGGTTTTGAAAAGTTCACATATCTTTAAGTTTGAGTTAAAATTTTCTTTACAATTCATTTTCTGTAAATAACCTCTTCATATGTGTGGCTCTTTGTAGAAATCTCTAAAAATGCATTTTTTTCAAGTATTATATATTATATGTAATAAAATTATTCTGGTTATTTTGTCTAGTTTTTTAATGACCGAAGTTTTTAGTTAGTATCGGTCTGTTAATTTTAATTCAAGTGTTAGATAATTTGGTTTTACGCTTTTCTAGTCACATTATTGTCTTTTATTTTTTTATTTCATAAACTAGTAGGATTGCCATAATTGTAAAGAAAAATCCCCAGATTGAAGAAAATGCTCAAATAATTTAAAAGTAAAAAAAAAAAAAAATATTCTGAAGCAAATTTGTTAAATTTTTTTTTAGTTTCTCCAAAGTAATCTGATATTTTCGCAACAAAATTTGAATCAAATTCGAATTATGTTAAGCTTCCCCACTTCTTATGAGGACATTTGAAAACTGTCCACCTTAGGTATGTACATTAGGGTGTGCGCTATTACGAAGGTTGGGATGAGAAAAGCAAACTTGTTTGCGATGAATAATTTTTTAATGCAAGAACTGAAACTTCATTTGGCGATTGCAAAAAAAGAAATTGGTAATAGGGCACACCCTAGTGTATAAGTTTTAGTCCCCCTTAAGTTGTTTAAGCCTCCACATTATTGTAATTATTGTAATTGTTACACGTGTTAAATTCACAAGGCATAAATTCCTAGGACCTAGGCAGAATATAAAATACATAGACATATAAACCTTATTAAGGAAATTGAACTGGAAAAAAATGAAAAAATGTATTTACTCACTAATAATTCTCACTTCAATAAAAAGGCTCAATTAATTTTGTATTATTATATTTCAAACTTAGTAACGTATTCAATACATTTCTTTAAATATGTAACTAATTATATACTTTAAGGCTTTTAACTAAATATCTGTATTTGTGGTCTTCTAAGCTATTACATATCATGAACAGAAAAGTCCATTGAATACATATAATGTTAAATATAGTCTTAAATTATCAACAAATAGTAAAATAGTACGTCGGTACTATGGAAATTGCATAAGCAAGTTGTTATATTTCTTGTAGTTTAGTTGTATACGCATAGAAGTTTCGACGGCACTTACTTAGCGTTAATGATTTGTAACGAAAAATAAATTGTTTAAACAACGTTGTCACATTATACCATACACAAGTGATTTATGAAACAATAAAGTAATAGGTTTTCACAAAAATTAATATTTGAAATGACTTGTATGTCTTTTGTTGCCCCAAAATGTAGGCAATATTATATTTGGTTATTGTGTTCACATACTACAGCGAACACGATTCCTAAAGGAAGATCATCTATTGGAGCATAGCATATAGTAAGTGTGAATAGCGTCATTCTGTAATAAGAGCCCTGCACAATTGTACTTACATACTTATCAAATATTGGTTATAAACTAATTAACTAGAAAACTATATTGTCTTTAGGCAAATATGTATGTATTGCCATCGTATGTACGTTTCACAACCAAATATAAAAACAAAATACAATCTATATTAACCCCAACTAAATAACCTATTTTAGCACAAGGATAAAGAAGAGATTTCTCTTTATTTATATATTATATTATATTCAAAAATCCTGACAGCTGGACGCACAAGTTACGTATACGCAACGTTGAATAAACAGCTAATTACCTAGTCAGTACTAAGTGTTTCATTTCTTTACAATTCCCATCAATCCAAAATT